AAATAAATACAGCCTTGCCAGAGAAATATTCATTATCGTAAATGCACATCAGAAGATTAAACATTCTTGAAATGGATACAGTCTTCGGCTTATTACACCGTCATGGCCGCCCACGTCAACACTCGCGCATATTTCATTCGTTTCGGCAGCTTCTGTTTCATTTAACCTTCGTTATTTTTGTAGTTAATGAAAGTATTGCAACTAATCTGATTGGAATTCCACAAGGTGAATTGATTACAAGAAACATGCATCAGGGGCGCTCTGGAGAACCAGTTATTAAAGATATATCGACATTGATCTTGTAACTCGTAGTTGTGAATTTCAAAACCCGCTGGTACATTGGAACAGCTATACGATCGATATTGTTTCAAGTAGAGTAAGTACATGTAACCGGAAAAGTAAGAGTTATGGTGTCTTCGTATATTGGTAGGCGATGAACAAAGCTAGGACATTTCGAACAAAGTCGACGACTTTATTACGACTAACCCATCGCGATTCGTAATACGGTAAATATTCATACCCATAATCACTTATAAATTGAATTACCCACTCTATGAATAAAACATCAGAGTAAATTACTTGTAACCTAATAACGGACATAGGAACTCAACAACTGCACCTTAAGAGAAATTCCCTCTACTCATTATTGCTATTCTTTTGCTGCAAACGCCCAAACTGCTTCGTCAAATTGAGTTACAAAATCACAGTAACCATATATATGGCTTTGAAAATAGAAAGACAGATTTTGACGAGGAATAAATAAAACGAGACTGAAACGCAACACGATTATAGTTTCAACATATTCACAAGGTAGTAACGTCATCAGCTAAGTCAAGTCGAATTATTTCCCTCGCATTTTTAACGCATTACATGTAATGTGCAATTATTCAAATGAATATTAATATATTTATTGGTTAGGGGTTCACAACCACGTATGAAATTTGAATAATGAAATCATACTTTATATGTTTTGGTGGCTCATTTTTATCCATATATTCAAAATATTAGACAACTTAAATAAGGTGTTTTCTATTCCGTGTCTATGTGATCAATCCCAATCCTTATCCGGCACATTACCACGCTGTGTACGAACGATTCAATTACGCAAGACACGAATTGAGGACCTCAGCTACAGCTATAATTTCCCGTTATATTTTTGAACAACACTTTTATACTTATAGCACGAAGTGTTATAACTTACATATTTGAAACGTGCTGAATTATGTCAATATAAACATTGAAATGATCACCACCACACGCGATTTACAGCAGTGTTATGTTGAATCTAGACCACACCACGTGAAGAACAGATAAATACAACTATACCATCATATTGCATTAATCAGTCTTTAAATTGATTTTTATGAATCTCAACATGTGTCCATGTTTCTATCTCACTATGCCCATAATCCTCAACCGACAGTGTCCGAACTAATGGATTAGTTAGTAACTTGGTTTGGTACCAGCTTTCCACTTCTACCTTGTTCGATGAGTGAATAACATAAGTTATTTCAGATCTGTGATTGCCAATAAATAAATAAATAAATAGATAATATTTTTATATTTAATCTAAGATAGTATAACTTATTTGTTCGACAATTTAAAAAATAAGCTCATCGCTGTGAATAACGGTACAATTGCCGATACAATATCGATTAGTTCCTCGAGGATGGAATGTGACAAAACAAATACAAATTAGCACTGAATTCTGGTGTTCAATTTCAGTTTATGCATACAAGATGACATGTATTAATGACGAATAGTGATCATTCATGTTTCATTGCAATTTAGGAAGCTGGCGCAGAAACACTACCCAGTAAAGTAAACACACACAAACCACATCTATAATTAGATTGACTTTTTGCTAAGGGTTTGATATTGCATATACATATTGACCTCAACGTAGTCAAGTATGTTTGTTTGTACAATCATAATATGGGATGGGAATTACTTTAAATATAAATACCACACATGTTGTCACATCAGCACACATCCAATAGATCGACTTAGTCTGAAGACGGTACATGTATAACCTATGTATTCAAACATCACTGACTTTTCACCACGACAATACACAAATATACATTACCCAGATCACGAATACGCGCCGATAAAATATTTTAAATTAAATTAAATTAAAATTTGTAAAGGTCATCTTAATGCTCTACACTAAATTGTAATAAATTTTACATCAAAGAGAACAATATGAAAAACACAGCACTTAAATGGTGGATGTCAGACAAACAAGGTCAATAATAAGATGATATTATTACGTATACGAAGTACTTACGTAATACTACGTACGTTTTACAAATAAGGGGATATTCAATGTCATGCCCTTAAGGCATATTTTCACAGGCATTCAGGCCTTAAACTTGAACGCACGCAGAATTACTACATCATTGTTTTGACATGCGTTTCCGTTTCACCCGGTGACAGATACTTTGCTGCAGGCACACGACAAGTATGTGACTACGAAGGTCAATTCTCCTTGCCGCGTAATATTGTCCATGTGCATGAGGTATTCTACTGTTATATTTTGCTAATAACGTTACTTCATTCTCTAAAACAACATATAGCATGATTTTGTGTTCCAAATTTTAATAGGCTTCTACCAAATTCTTTTACTAACACTGTTTAGTCAAATAACACTGATAACATCACGTTTACCATCACGCAAGAAGTCAGTCAGTTTATCAAGTGATTTACTATAGGCATAATACATAACGAACCTACAATAATTACAGTAAATATTCATGAACACATCGAATGCCAGAACGATTACATGCAGAGGTACATGTGCATTCGTGTTCGTGTCGATCCCACAACATCCGCCGTTGTACATGAATATAGTGCATACTATTATATATTGTTCATATTAAAATCTCTGACAAACTAATGCATATCAACATTAGTCGCAATTTCATTAACCAGATTGTTAATTCCCCCTGTCTGGCATTGGATGTAACTATACGCTTCATTTCCTCGAAACACTTCTGTTTCAAATTGTTGTTTATTTCAAGAACATGATTGCATTACTCTGACACGTGTGCACAGTAATGTGGCCGGTATGATCAAACCAAGCTACATGCTGCATGAAACCAGCAGACTCTGACGAGTGACTGCATCTGATGATACTTAATAATCCACAGTCCATATTCACATTGCATTAGCTACGCTACTTGGCCTTCAGCATTATACAGAAATCACATAGACAATTTAACATTGACTTATAGATAAATATGTTTTCATCCTAGAAAAGTTGTTGTATTCTCAACAGAAACGTTTGTTGTACACTAGTATCATTGTCTATTGTACTGCTTTTCTCCGTGGTCCGATATTCATATGTATCATGTAGCTAGCTAATTTGCTAAGAAAACTGCGCCGAGAATTCTTTTAGATGTTATACATCAATTGTATCCTTGCGGTTACAATGCTGAATCCAATGCACGTCCTGGGATTCAAAGAAATGAATTGCAAATTTTTACAAGTGATTTGTCTCATATCCACTTTCCCGAGTGTAGTGCCAGTCGCCAACAAATGACATGTAGTCACTGCGACTTTTTTTTGCTTAATCACTGTTTTGCCCCTTTGTACAGTAATTCGCTCACGATGAAGGGCGCTACATAAAACTTTTTAGTTGATTGATTGATAAATTTGTTAGTATGACGCATTCACGTTCTTAAAGATTTAACATAACATTTATTTTGACATTTATACATGAACTTAAGTGCATTTATTGTATAGAATCAGTACACACTATCTATATATATTACTGTTTAGAGTACCCACGCTCTCAACTCCAAACTACCGTATTACGCATACATGACATCGCTAAGCTCATCCTAGGCAATTATTGAATATATGGAGTTCTGCATAGGTAACATCGATGTCTCATGAGTGTAGGTGTTTACTCTAGAACACTATTTATACGCAAAGTTTAGTGATACATCAATATATAGAGAGTTGAGGTTTTCCCTGATTTTCTCACTTTACAAACCAATATCCAAGCATTGCATAGTGATGTTTTTATCAGGATGTTGTGCTATGAAAGGTTTGAATTCAATAATCATAAATTTAGTAAGATAAACATTTTCAATAGACTAAAAGTTTATATATTCATAATATTTGTTAAGACGTTAGGAAAACATAGGACATTGAAAGTCACACAATTATGTAAAAAAAAACTCTAAAGATCAAACATGGTATATATTTTACTACAACTTTTTAATCACAATTTTAATCTTCAAACTCTATTTCATGATAAAGTTTGGCCTAGACCATTCCACCAAAAGACATTTTAATATGCGTGAAAGTAAACCCACTAACTTTATCATGTAAGCAACACACTGCATTAGAAAATTGGCAAAAAGTAATTCGCAATATAGTGGTATATGTTAAGATGTGTTTAGTATGCTTCACCATAGGAACGGTAAACCACCAATTCAATATAATCGTGAATATCGCATGCTGAAATTGTTCTTGCTTTGGTGGATCGTACAAGATCTACAACGATAAATTGGGGAAGACTACATGAGTTAGTTGTAATTAGATTTCGACCATCTCAGCCACACGCGACATAAATGCGTTAAAAAACTCACGGAATAATTTAGTCGAAGTAAGAATCTTTTCAGTGTTAATCATCAATACGCTATTTATTCCTGACCAAAGTCATTCAAATTAGCCAATAATTCCGTGAACATTTGCATGTTCGAGCCAATTATAGTCAAATAATACACACTAGTGTGGAGGTAATGAGTAAAAAGTAAAATCACACCACCCTGAAAGATGATGTCAAATGTTAATGCGCAGTCTGTTTGAAAGTTCCGGTAAAATATGCAATACATGCTATTATCGTCAGCAATTTGATTTCTATTCAGGTTTTATTTACATAGCACTGGGTAGAAAGAATGTGTTTTCTGACAATCCACCGTTTGCTTTCATCTTCGCCACGGGATATGACGCACTGGTGAGTCTGATACGTAACCGAGTCTTAAAATAAGTGCCTACAAGGTCGTGAAAGATGCGGCATGCCTGACCGCAGCAATTCAAGCCTATGCTGGCCTATGCCAGGTCATTTATTGGCCTGTTGAATTTTCTCGTGGGGATTCATATAGCAGAGAGATAACACTAGCATATTCGAAATACTCTACTACACATTGAATCAAATGTTTAACAGCTGGAGCTACTATGGCGTCTAGTTCAAAGTCAGAAATAACGATATTTGAATAGAGGAAGTAACAAACTCTGTACAAAAGCTATTTTTTTACATCATTTCCCAATAAAAGACATAAATAGTAATAACGTCATTATAAGGTAATTGTGCCATCGGAAACACTCACAGGAGGTTAGGTACTGGTAACGAATGCTATATTTGGCCGTATATTAACGGTGGTCTCTGTTTAATAATATGTCAAAACGTCATGGCCTCTCCTATGGTATGGAAGTTAATTTAACGAGTGAAGCGATGGATTCTGTGACCGTATTTTCATGAGTGAAGTGAGTGAGTGAAAATGCAGCATGGACACACCGCATCACTCGAGAAACTCGTACCCACGAACGTTAGAGCAAAGCATATATTTTATTATTATTACATAATACTCTCAGCCACCAAGGACGCCCAAGCGTTGCGGCCATTTAAATTCTGTTCAGTGATTGGTTGGCGTTCCATTCTGTTCATAAGTAAATATTTGCAGACGGGCGCTTGCCCACAGTGTTAACGACAAAAATACCGATAAATGCAACAAACAGAACAAAATTCGAGAGTTTTATCAAAATAAAAACAAGACACTATAATCCACCAACATTGCGTGAGACATACTGGCATCACATATAAATGAATCTTTGTTAAATCATGATCAGAACGACCTACCCAGAACTTCCTCTTGATCAAATATATTCACCATACAGTGATGAACATCTGAAGGTAAGTAACAGAAACTACACAGTTTTAAATGTTTTATTATGTATGCTTAAGTGTCATATTAGGCAATGTAACTTGTTTCTTCATTGCCAACTATGTAGTATTCAGCTTGTTTATTTACAAACTCAGTTTCAAGCAAATGGCAAGGCATAATAAGGAATATCCCTTTACCAGACATGTATATCTACATGAGACGAAGTTATATGTATTTAGATCTACTGTAGATCTACTGGTCAAAAAAGTAGACAAAGCCACTCAACATTTCATCTACTTAAAGCTTCCTCTACAAACCTTTGTACATGTAGATATGGTTTATCTACGCTATGTCTACTTTTCATCTACGCTATGTGTACTTTTCATCTACATGTACATCTTCATTGTGAAAACCAGATTTCATCTATGATTTGTATGTTTTTCATCTACTCGAGTAAAGGAATGTAGATCAAAACATAATGCCACTGCAGCCCTTTCCCTATCATCGCCACCAACGCTAACACCTCGATCTATATTTTTCGCGGCTTTGCATGTGTATTGGCTAGCTGACTTGACATGCACGGCAGACGCTTTTCGCAGGGTTTTACCAGTTATTCGTTACTGCCCAACGTCGCCTGAAACACAGTCAGCTGGCGTGCATGTAATAATAAATAAATGCTATATTTACTATATGGGGGACGCCATCTTGAATGCGGCATACAACTAAACAAGAGACAAGTTGTGAAACGCGTTTTTAAAATTTATTGATTGATTGATTGATTGATTGATTGATTGATTGATTGATTGATTGATTGATTGATTGATTGATTTATTTATTTATTTATTTATTTATTTATTTATTTATTTATTTATTTATTTCGTTTATTTATTTATTTATTTATTTATTTATTTATTGACTTGTTACGCAAGCAATCAAGCACCCAAATAAATAAATTTAATATACAACGTCATATATAACAAACTTAATACAATTGAACACCATTTTAATACTACGTAGTTTGTATGGCTAGTTTAAAGTCCATCATTGACACTGCATTGCGCTGGCTTCGGTTCTGATAAATAAAATACTCATCAAACCCAGGTGTTTAATCTTACATTGCCAAACTTAAGTACCGGTCGATGAACTACGACGCGTGTTGTATTTAGTAGGCATATTGAGTGGGAAATAGTCAGCCTCAGGCCAAAAAAAAGAATTATTAAAAATAACACACATCTGTTCTATTAAGCGGTAAGCCCATAAATCAATCACCCACAGTTCATGTCCTGGGTCTTTTCATTCGGTTTTATAATGTATTCGTGTAATAATGATTGACTGAAGTACTGTCCTTCATAAAATGATGCTCGCTCCCTTCATATCGTGTTCGTGTTCGGGCGGTCCTGGAAACGACAACAGACTATTATAATATGCCACTGACATCAGTATTTTGTATTTTTAGAGGAGTGATTGTTACTATGTCACGTTTTGGGACACCACAATCATCACTCGGCGTCATATGGGTTCCACGCTACGTATACAATCTATGTAAAAAACATGGTTTCAATTCACGTAATTTTTATGGGCGCTACTGAGGAGCTTAATTATCTTTGAACATAATAAGGTTGCGAGAATATACATAAATATCAACGTATTAAAATAAACTAGAGCAGGATCGATAGCACAAACTGTATGTTCTATAGAGGTTTAATGTTGGTATCGTAATTACTTTCATTAATTTACCATTAACCTACTATACCAGTTAACGTTCATTTGCGGAAGTAATGAACTCTTGAACTCAATATTATTGAATGAAGTTTCACTTTTTCCGCAAACAAACTGTGATGTGGTGCATAACGCTTGTCAAATATTGTCATCTGGAATTATAACCATCGTTCTGCTCAGTCGTCACGCAGCGCGTACAGGCTATACGCAACGCGTCAAAGCGGTCACGCGGCGTGTCACAGTCGCTTATTGCATCGCAATGTGAGTTATTTTGTCTATTAGTTGACATTGTTACTCATTATAATATCTTCATGGAACAACTAATTCACATACTATTCGGAGGTTATTACAAGAATATCGCAAAATAGCTGAGGGCAGTGCAGTAACCTGACCCGACACAACCGTACTGCATATACCTTACTGTATATCGTATTAATATACTTTTTTCCTACTTTCCTAATTTAGAGGGGAATAACATCCCAAAATGCCTGAGAATAATTATTTTACAGATTCGTTCAGTTGAGACTTTTTCCGTTAAGCAGAAAATAGTGTTATGTTCCTGTAAACAAATACAATTGTTCAAATCTATTTTTTCAATAAAAAGACGTCTATATATTGTTCGAAAACACCTGTATGACGGTTTAAAGACTGCTAAATTATAACAACACCTAGACGACGCTCATGGGTGATGCGACTCTGCGTCACAGTTTGTCTTGTGGGTCACTCGGGGAAACATGTGTGCCAAGATTGAAGGCGCTAACTATTTTCCCCTCACTGCTATACCCTTTGGTAGTAAGATATACATTGTAAATTACAAAATTACTATTACAATTTGTCATTCTATGTGTTCCCGATTACATGATGTATAACAGAATTGTGAACATATATAATCATATAATCAATTCTTATTGACTTTTGCATTACATTATTGAACATACTGAGTATGACAACTGGTGTTATATGTAAACGCAATCTGTTATAATCTGTCTATTATGCTAATGCGAAGATATACAATGATATAGCGTGTCGTTTCGCATGCAATGAGAGATCATTCGAACAAGCAGATATATACTTTTATTGGTGGAAAACTGGTAGAGGGTCTTTGATTAATTAATTAATTAATTAATTAATTAATTAATTAAGAATAGAACTACTTCATACAAATCTGTTAAAAATGGTTTAATTTCCCTCATATTTTAAAATATATTTCTTCAATCATGCTATGCTGTCACACTGAAACATCAATAGCGCACGATGTTCCGAGTGAATATTTGAAAAAAAACCGTATGAACAAATTAATCTGATCTTTAGTTAAATGAGACCATGTCTATTACTTGACATGTACCTAAGGCAATGCAGACATGTCCCGGAAGCTTGAGTACAGGAGAGCGCATATTATGCAGACATCTGTTTTAAACACTGATTTTTAATTAGCGTATTTCGTGCATAAAGACTAATTTAGCAAACAGTTGTTTCATATTATGATAAATTAATGAGTACCGACATTATATTGCATGCTGGGTGTTCAAAAAAAGTGTCACCAATAAAACATTTCTGAAATATAGATGACAATTTAAAAAAATAAAACAAAACTAAACTCCCAAACTAGATTTCCCACAATCCAATGCGCTCCTCAAATGGAAATCACAAGTGACCTCGGCGCGACTTGCACTGGTTACCGCCGGCGACTTCTTCGATACATTTCAATAACATGAAAATTACTTAATTAAAGCTTGGAAACGTCTCAGTTCGTACTTGTTGATCTGCGCAACAGCCAAAGTCGCCATCTTTGTTTATATAAAACCCATATATCTCGCACATGCGCAGCGCGACGACTACCGCGCTTTTACTTATGTTGATGAGATACACAACCCACTAAACAAACAGTGTTACAAAAGTGTTTGCAACTGTGGTAATCTATGGTGACATAACAGTTTCAGCAAGAAGATGACCATATTATTCTATTTTCAAGCTTAGAATATGTATACAAAGTCATAGTAATATTACAGTGTCAGAATAAGGGTGTATGTATTCTCCTACATCCAAGCTATCAAAATATATATACAAGTAGTTTATCCGCTTACATGAAATATTTGGTAGGGAGTCGACTATTAATAAAATTAAACATTGCGATTTCCTTTGTCACTACTTTTAGAAAATATGTCAATTGCCAAATACAAGACTTAAAAGCGCCGTATTATTCGGGATGGCAACCTGTATGGGTATTATTCTGTAATTTAGGTTACGCACTTTTGAGCTATCCAACTATCAAAATGCTAATAAACATATATACCATTCTATGCGTAGAAAGGATTTGTTGGTATTTCTACATTTAGATTACGATCAACCCGCT